ATCCACTTTAAGTCGTAGGTCCCGGTCTCCTATGACTGTAAGAGCGTCACGGAGCAAAAGTTTCAACCTACGGGTGCTCCATCACAACAGAAGCTGCTTCCTTCCCCTTCAATCATGAGTCCATATGGGCTCGTTTTTAAGAAACAACAAAAACACTTTTTGTTTATTATTTAATTTCATAGGGGAAGTTCATAAGTACTTTAAATTAAAAGTTATTAATTGTGTCTCAATTTTCAATTGTTTTTAAATATTTTTAAAATTTTAGGCTTTATAAAATGTATGCTATTATACCCTAATTTTATCTCATTATTCTTCTAAAAGTAAATTTGTACTTTTTAGTTAGAGTTTTCGTAGCTATGATTTATCTAAAAATAAATTAATATTTATTTTAAAAAATTAAATAAAAATAACATTTTTAAAAATAGTACACTTAAAATATGGTAATAAACACTTTTAGTGAATTTTGGGATAATGTGATGTATTAGAATTATGTAAGATTTACAAGAAAAAGGGTTCAACGATTTTTTTTTAATATTTCATATCATATGTATGCTTTAATATAATTATGAAATCTGCTGCATGTTTATACCAATTTTTCTTAGACGTGCCCTTATTACTTTTTTTGTAAAGTTGTGAAATGTTTTTTGTAATCTACGTTTCTAATGTGTAGATTGGACAAACAAATTGTAACAGGGTGTGGTTGGGTTGATATACTTGAGGCACAAGTTTGAGAACACAGGTTGGAGAACTCACAGTTTTATTGACACAGTCACTTTAAAACTAATAGGATCGTAGAGCGCTGCGGGGCATTGTTACTCCGCGTCCGTGGCTTACCACAAACATGCAAATTAACAGGTAGATGGCGAAGATCACGGTCCCCATTAGAAGAAAAAAATATTCAACACATTTAAAGACATATAATTAAAGATTTGTGGAAGGATTCCCCTTTTAAGCTGAAAACCCAAACTCGGCTATGCACAGGGTGCGCGAAATATACCTTCTCTCCGGGGGAGAGTCTGTAGGCAGGGTAATTAATATGCAGGGTTGAATTAAATATATTTCGTCTAGGTATAAGAGACTATAAACTAAGCGTTTCTCAGCTGGAGAGCAAGCTGTGCTGTACTTCCTCTCAGGTTAGAGTCTCGAAGCCTACTGACCCTCTCTTCTGAATACCACATGGGTGTTTTCTTACCAGTGTGTAGGAGGAAGTACGATTACAAGTTCTTTAAAATATTATTTTTCTTAAATTTCTTTGATTTTGGAATACTTTTTCCTGATACCATACATTTTAATTTCCTTTGTGTGTGATGATTTTGAAAATGTTCAATTTACTTTTGAATAAATGGTTTATTTTGAGTAATTCTATTGCACTATATTCTAATTATACATTGAATTTTTTTATTTGTTAAAACCATCATAAATTATGTATTTTAGTGGTTGAATTGCAATTTGTTTTTGCGTTTCATTCCCAATTCACAAAAATACGAAAAATTAAAATAGAACTAAACGCATTATTATTAGCATTATTAATTAGCATTAAGAACATGATCTACGAATGTTTCATTGAGTCCGATGGAAACCTAGTAGCTAGAATGTCAGTTGCTGCTAGAAATTTGTGTGACATACCTGATATTTTTGATAACGAACACCAATCTATCTACCACCGCTGTGAATCTTGTATTACTGTAAATGTCTCTTTTTTGAGCACATCTATTGTAAAAAAATTAAATCATTAAAATGTTTGTCCCTTTTGACTTTAACTGTATTTCTCTGTTACCCGTTATACCTATCTTCCTTCCATGCGAGCTCTTACATGTTCCATTTCTTTCCATAAATTCCATTTTAAAATGTACTTATTACCATTCCTTCTACCAGTCTTTAAATTTTTTGCAAGATAATTTTGAAACATTCTGTATAAACAAATATTAAAAATATGAGATTCTCGAGGGTAGTTACAACTGGTTAAGAACAAAAAATAATAATAATAAAAAGAATGAAATGTTACTAGATTGTTACAAATGGAATGAACTTATTAATATTAGATAAACTGGGGCCTGAATAGCCGAGTGGCTAGAGCCCTGGCTCTCAGTACCGCAGTTTTCGGGTTCGAGTCGCGGCGGTGTCATGGATGTTTTTGTAGTGGTTCGGAATCCACTTTAAACCGTAGGTCCCGGTCTAATAGGATCGTAGAGTGTTGCGGGGGCATTGTTATTCCGCGTCCGTGACTTATCTTCAAGTTACACGCTCCCCCTGGGTAATGCAAAGTGAGTAACATCTGTGCAGCGCTTGCCTTAAGGCATCTAAGACCAAGTGTCTAAGTGTTTGCCAGCTGCATTAGAAAGAAAGAAAAATGTTAGATAAACTTGTTAATGTTAGTTGTTCGATTTATTATACCCAGTGATGTTGACAGGATCTAACTCTTTAAAATCAATACACAACGGAGAACAATACATTCGAAAAATTTAAATATTGTATGGTATTGAAATATTGTATTCGGAATATTGAAATGTTATATACTCCGAAATATTTAAACTTAAAATTTTTTAATATTTAAAACCCGAATATGTTGAATCTGGTCTGTTCAAAGCCGGATTAGGCAAAGTTGGAAACTTATTAGAAACAACTAATATAAAAAGAAAGTTTTTAAAGTCAATTCCTACTTTTTTTTCACTCTATTGCAGAAAGTCCTTTATAAATAATTTTCATTCATTTTTTTAAGTTTATCTGGCCCCATCTATTGGCAGATATATGCAACTTAAATTCAAAATAAACTAAAAATGAATTAATTAAATTTAATTACTGAATTAATATTTGAAAAAACTGTATTAACATCAAGTGTTATCCACTACAAGTTAAAAAAAAATGTATTTTAACTTGAGTGGATGAATAAAAAGTATTTTATGAACGACTGAAAATTTGAACAAGATATATATAGGAAGAGTGTGAGCTGATAGAAGGAATTGAAAAAAGAAGCGATTTAAACAGGGTAAATTCTTGATGATGTTTTTCTTTTATCATTTTTATGTAATAAAGAACGTCGCCAATTATTACTTTTCAGTTTAATTGAAAAAAAAAGGGGATTTTTTTTTTATTTCTCGTTATTCAAAAGTTTCTTGATATCATCAAATAAAGCATGAAAGGAATACCATATAAATTTGTTATTTTACTTGGTAGACAGCAAGATTTAGACCAGTCCAAGTCCAATAACTCATATGTTCTCAAGGAAGGAGGGAAGGATGGATGACAGCTTCTGTTGTTGTAGTGGTGGCTTGATGGCCAATTGGCTAGAGCTCTGGCCTTTGGTAACACAGGCTTCAGGTTGGAATAATGGCGATGGTATGGATGTTTGTGAGTGGTTCGGAAACCACTAAACTGCATTAAACTGCAGATTCCAGTCTAATTAGCCTAGAGTGTGGAAAAAAGGTCCATAAAATCTGTTGTGATGAAGCACCCTGTAGGTAGAAGTCTTACTTGGTTTCTAGTCGTTGAAGAAGGAGGACAGTATCTTCCGGGAGGACGTTTAGGGAGAACTACCCCGCATTTACGTATCGTATGGGAGAAACTCTAGAAGATTCCCACCAGGTAGTCCGACTCACGAAGCAAGATGCTGGACATCCCAAACGCCATCAACTCTCCACGTTTATTGAAACAGTGTCTGCAACATAGCCGCCAATGAGAACCTCAGCATTAATGCTCATCAGCGGAGCACGTTGCCACTGAGCAGCGGTAGGGCCCATATAAATCTAATTATTAAATTAAAAAAAAATACAAATCATTTTGTATAAGTGAATTAAGAATGCTTTTTTTGATTACTTATTGTTGAACAACAATAAAGTGTTTTTTTTTAAGTCGTAAGAGAACTGCAAAATACTATAAGAATCAATGAAATGCGAAAATTGAAAGAAAGTTATAAGTGCTAAAAGATATACATTTTACGAAGTTTGATTGACAGTTGATCAGTGTCTTCATACAAATGAATGAAACTCAGATCCCAAAACATAATTTAGAACATATCGGAATAAAAAGAAAGGGAGAGAAAAAAAAAAAAAAAAAAAAAAAAAAAAAAAAAAATGACAGTGAAAGAAAAGATGATTGTGCTTTGTTATGGGTGAAGGCAATAATCACTTTTTAAAAATGTTTTCTTACGGGATGTTTTGCGAGTACAGAATAGGCACGTGCCCGTTGGCTATTTTGTTCTGAATTCATTCAGGTATGTTTAAAAGCGCAGTTGCTACATTTGGCTCTTTATCAACAACTCTTCAAATATTTTGCATGAAAAAAGTTTTTTTAAACTTATTTTTTTCTCAACGTCAGAAACTTTGGTTATTTCTATTCGCCATTGATAGCGTAGAATAGTAGAAGTTCTAATTTTATCCAAGAAACTTCGTGAACTACCCGAAAAGTGAATAATTCATTCAGGGAAGAGTTTTAGATGTAACTGCTCTGTCTTTTCATGTCGTAGTGGAGAAAATCTAGAATATTCTAACCTAGTAATCCGATTATAGATTCATAGTCATAGTCTACATTGAGTTTTCTCGTTTTTCCAAACATTGAATATCACTCATTCCTCTAAGGAATATTGAGCGGCATGACAGCCAATGACTAGCGCTCTACCCTTTGGTACCACAGGCTTCAGATTTAAATCATGACGGTGTCATGGATGTTTGTGAGTGGTTCGGAATCCACTTTAAACTGTAGGTCTAGATCTAATTTGCCTAAAATGGGCAAAAAAAAAATTTCCGTAGAGCGACAAACCAAACCAATCTACTTCACTGACGCAACAGCCCCATGGTGGATCAAGATCGTCGCCAAGATTTCGAAACATGAGATGTCTTCTTTTTTACGGGGTAGTGTTAGCCCTCCTCCCAACCATCTATGTTTATATTAGACCGGGACTAACAGTTTAAAGTGAATTCCGAACCACTATACATACGAGACCACTCGAACCCGAAATCTGTGGCACAGAAATCCAGTCACTCGGCCGTTAGGTCCTAAAGTAAAGGTTCTATTGAGATTCAAACTCGATTTACTGGATTAAAAGTCCATAGTGCTAACCATTACACCATGGAACAGTACCAAATATTCTTCTTCGAACCACTACAAATATCTATGGCCCCGCCAGGACTAGAACTAGGGAAATTGAAATCTAGGGAAAGTTGAACTTTCGCCTTTTTTTTAAAAACTAGTATAAGTTACTACTGGCACAAAAGTGAGGCAAATTTATAAAATATAAAGCAGGACTTGCTGTCCGAGTGACTAGAGCTTGGTGCCACAGGGTTCGAGTCGAATCCTGGCGGTGCCTTGGATGTTTGTAGTGGTTCGGAATCCCCCTTTAAACCGCATCCGTCCCGGTCTAATATGAGTGTAGGGCGTAGGCCTGAAGAACCCTACCCAGTAAAAAGAAACCCCCCGTCTCGAAATTTGCCAGGCCTTAGCTCAGTATGGGCTGTAGGGCCAGGGAATTAGTTATTAAGCATATATAATTCCAGCTTCAGTAAAATTAACACCTTTTTATTTTGTTAAATTTTAACGTATATATATATATATATATATATATATATATATGCATTTCTTATAAGTGACATTTGAATTTTTAAATTAAAAAATATCTTAATTACCTTAAATGTAGTTATACATACGTAAAAGGAATTTAGAATGTTAAAAAAAAAAAAAAAAAATTAAAAGATTTCTAAAAGCTCAATATTTCAGACGAACAAAAATATTAAAGGACACAAAAATTTATCAGTTTATAACTCCAAAAATATTTATTAAAACGAATAAAAATTGATTTTCATTTTCGTTCACTGAAAAGTTTTAAAATACGTAGAGAAAATTTACAGGAAAACACGCTCATCTTATTAGGATACTCAACTCAAAATATCCATTTAAAGTGATAAAAAAAAAAATAATTCTCTACTAAGAGACACGACTTTCTTTTGATAGAGTGTACTTTATTAGCGCATTTCAAATATAATATATTTACCATAATTGAGTCGTTTGATTTTCTAAATAAATTGTTTTAGATTAATCCTAATAAAAAATCGTTATTTCTAAATAAATAAATCATTAATAAAATTAATAAATCATTAAGTAAAACAATTAAAAAGCGATTTTTTAATATCGTTTGCTTAAAAGCAGACGACTAATGAATATAATTTCTTTTTATCTATAATTTTCTACCAAAAATTATTAATTCAGATTCAGATTTTTGGTAAACACTAAATGAAAAAAATTACATATTCTAAGAAAAAATTGGATTTTTTAGTATTTTAGTTTCAACTTAGGACAGCAATAATTAATTTATTTAATATCTAAATTATCGTTTATTTCCATGCATCAGCTGAAAAGTTTTAGAACTTTTTTCAAAAGTTAAATTACAGGGATTGGTTTATATACGGATTCGCTAGTCTCGCAAAAAGCATAGATATTTTTCGAGCAAACGATATATCTCCAAATATCTCATCCTTTGGTATCCCAGGCTTCAGATTCGAATCCTGACGGTGGCATGGATGTTTGTGAGTGGTTCGGAATCCACGTTAAACCGTAGGTCCCGGTCTGTTTAGCCTAAAGTATGCACAAGATGACCATAGAGAAACAAGCCAAACCAACTATCTCATATAGCGCATTTCTTTAGTTTATATTTCTTAAGTTTATGAAAAAAATTAATTTTAAAGGGAAATAATTGTTTGTTTTGTTGGAATGAGTAGTTTTATTTTCGAAATTGTTTGTTTTGTTGCTGTGCTACTAAAACGAAAATTTGACGTTGGCAAAATTTGCTCCCGGCTAATGCAAAGAATCAAAATGTACACCAGAAATAATAATAGAATATCGTAAACAGTTAACACATAAAAATAAAAATGAACAAGAAAAGTATATTATTCTTTGAAATTAATTTTTGAGTTGTTGTTACAACAGAACAACTGAATAGAAATTGTTTCTATTCAGTTTTTTATGTTTATTTTTTTAAATTTCTCTTACGTTCTCTTACGTTACGTCTCGTTTAAATTTCTTTCTCGTGCTTTCTTATAAAATATTTTTTTTTTTTGGAAATCTATATTTTTTAATGGGTTTTTTTTCTTCAATTCCTTCTATTAGCTCACACTCTCCCTATATATATCTTGTTCAAATTTTCAATCGTTCATAAAATACTTTTTATTCATCCACTCAAGTTCAAACACATTTTTTTGAACTTGTAGTGGATGACACTGGATGTTAATACAGTTTTTTCTAATATAATTCATTAATTAAATTTAATTAATTAATTTCTGTTTTTTTAGATTTAGATTGCATATATCCACCAATAGATGGCGCCAGATAAACTTAAAAAAAATGAATGAAAATTATTTCTAAAGGACTTTTTACAATATAGTGAAAAAAAAATTTAAATTGATTAAAAAAAATTTTTTTTTTTATATTACTTGTTTCAGTTTTGAACAATAACTGACAAACATAACTTATTGTCTCAATAAGATTTATTGATATTTTTTCTTTCTTTGCTTAAGATTAATTTTATGCATTTTGTTCTTACACTGAATTCTAACTTTTATGAGAACCTGTGTAAGGGCACAGCCGATTAAATTTCAATAAATTTTCTTTCTCGTTATTATTATTGTTATTATTTTGATTAGAATAAATTTAATTACAAAAAAAAATTAGTGCTAATTCATTGTGTCGTCCCTGAAAAAATTAATATTTCTTTAAATTAATAGAAAAAAATATCCCATGTAACAAAGGCTGATGATCCCACATTCCATTTTATTCGATTGATGGTCATAAATTATGACAGATGGCAATCGTGAAATAACCAGCTGTTAGAACAAACCAGTGAGCAGCGTGAATTATTTTGTTTTTACAAACTTGAATTTTTGACACATGGATAATAATTCAAATTAATTTCATCCTTTTTTAAAGGTTAAAATATTTTATGAAAATAAGGTATCTATTTACTTTTAAAATTTTTAATGTATAATAAATTTAAGAGTAATTATACAATCTTATAATTATTCTTAAAACAGATTTAATTCGAATAATTTAATTGTGATCGAGTACATTTATTTTTTGGAATATAGTTACTATAATAATTGCATATTTTAATCATGATTTCATTAAAATAATTTTAAAAAAATTAAACTTTCTGGTTAATTTTTAGCAATGAATAGAATCATTTTGAAATGGAATATAATATTGTTTAATAACAACAATTTTGTACTAGTATTGTGTAATATAACTTCTCAAAATATTAAAAAAACAATCTTTTTTTTTAAATTTAAATTGTTCATCTAATTTTAGTTGCTTGAAACCAAAATTTTGTTAGTTTTATAATTTTTATTTCTCGTATATAGAGCAATTTATTATAATTTCACCATTTTGTTATGTGATGAATTTATAAAATAAATTAAAATGTAATACGTATGTCATACATGCACCATAATTAACTTAAGAGTTCTCAAAACATTAATTACAAATAGAAAAAATTGATAACCCATATAAATTCCAGTAAATTTTTGAAAGCTTCAAAATTCTTATTTTTGAATAAGAAAACCATCATAAAATGAATTACAATGTAAACCCAGCTTTAGTGACGTCAATTCATTTCATTCGATATGCCATCTAGCGGAGAAAAAAATATAAGTGTTTTCTAAAAATTTTTCGTCTTAAACTGACAAATTTAATTTAATTTAATTAAATTTAAGAATATTATTAAAAATAATCATCTCGAAAAAAATTATTATAATCAAACATGTTTTATCGCTACTTTTGTTTTCATTTTAATTCAAATCCGTTAAAATTTGTTCTTTTGTTTTATGACAGAAAAATCGTCTGAACTTGCATTTAACAAGTTTTCATTGACTAAAGCAAACGAGTTTTCAAATTGATAATTTTCCGATCCAATTTAATGTTCATCAAGATTTCTACTATGATTAAATATGTTTCATTTAGCTAAAGCAGGATTAAAACATTCAATCAAGGGGCCTAAATAACTTTTTCGTATTTAATTTGCTTGATAAAATTACTTAAAAAAAATGTAAGTAAAAATAGACCTATTTCAAAGTTCTATAATATTTACCGTTTGATAAGTTTCTATTTATTTTCTGTATCATCGATGTGTCATTCAACTGTTTTTTTTTTATTATTCTTTATTGTTGTTTTCTTAAAGTAATTGTTTTGTTTATGTTGCGTTTTTTTTTTGAAAAAAAAAATTTAAAAACTGCTTAAACTGTTTTATTTATACTTTCTTAAGAGTTCGGTCTATCTAATTTTACAAAGTTTCTTTCATGCAGAAAATTATCATTCGCATACTAGCTTTAGAATTTTAATTATTTTAAGGATCAATCAGTTTTATTTAAAGTTACCTTACACATTATTATTATCATTTTTTATTTATTATTTTAATTTATATTACTACTGTTTTCAGATAAATATTATTTAATTAGTCTTATCTTTAAATCCTGGTTTTATCATAAAAGATTTCTTTCGCAAAATGGGTGGTACATTTTTTGTGATTTTCCATAATTGGTTTTGAATTTTGTTTTTTTTAAGAAGAAAATATCAAATAATTAGTTTCTATATTATTCTACAATTAATGAAAGATTTGAACTTATTTTTAAAAAAAATATTATTTGAAAAAATAAGCAAATGAATATTATTTCAATAGAATATTTTCAAATAATATTATTTTAATAAACAATTAAAAGAATATTATTTGAAAATGTCTCTATTTTTGAAACCTTGAATGTTATTTTCGATTCACATTGGAATAAGTTATGACAGAAATTTTTAAAAACTTCTAAACAATTATAAAATGCAAAAATATAACTTCTTTTAAGTATCTATGTTTTTTTTATTATTATTATATTAATTAAAATTTTAAAAATAAAAAATGATCGAAACAAAATTGATTCGGTAAGAATTAATGATTAAATTTTTTCTTACAGGTATAAATAAGGATAATTCAGAATTTTATTGTAGAAGTTATAAGTTGCAAATTCAAATGGCGCGGATTTTATTGTTGTCGTAAGGTATATTCTTTTAAGGTATATTGTAAGGATTCTTTTTTATTAAGGTAAATAAG